CCGCCGGTGCGCCCACCAGAACGAGCTTGAAAATACAGTTCATAGCCACGCTTAAAAGAGCTATTGGCGACCAAGTGACTTCCCTGTTTGGGGTCCCTTTCCGCCTGTCTGCAAGGTGGGGTGGTGATGGTGTGGACTTCCGTCAGGATGGGACCCGTAGCCCCAACATGGGGATGAGGGAGAGCTGCCCTGGGTCAGCAGTCGGTGTCCCCACGGGTTTGGAGCAATGGGTGGAGAGGTCAGCCTCCAGCCAGCCTCCACCTGACCCAGGTGTGTGTCTGCTGAAAGAAGGGGAAAGGCAGCAGCACCGAGGGCTGCAGAAAGAGGCTGGAGCCCCACCTTTGACCTGACTGTGGGCTGAATCCCCTTTCTCTCTGAGCATGTCATCTCCCTCATCCCACAAGCCTTATACCAGGGAGGGGGCTCAAGCTTCAGGGCCTGGTAGAGCTGAGTCAGTACCATGGAAGACCCCAGCGAGGGACAGAAAAATGGAGGGGGGTTACGGGGAGTGGGACACACATCCGAACTTCCAGCTGCCTCTGGGCCTGTAGCTTCAAAGCGCGACAGCCGCCTTCGGAGAACAGGGAGGAGCTAAGCAGCCATGGGGTTAGGACGGTCAGATCTGGGTTCGCATCAGAGATCGCAGACACCAGTGCCTCTGCTCTCTGGGTTTCAGTTTCCGCTTCTGTAAAGTGAGAGCCGTAACACCTGCCTCGGGATGCCACGGTGAGAAGCGTGGTGTCTGCAGAGCCCCTGGTACGGGGCCTGCGCGGGTGGCACTTGGTACTTTTCTTCCGTGGCCTCACCAGGGTTCAGAGAGAATGTGTTGTTTTCTGCCTGCTTCCATTGCCCAGGAGCTCTCCGAGGGGCAGGGCCTTGTTTGTCATAGTCACTGCGGTGACACCCCCTCCCTCCCTCACACACGGCAGAGCGGCAGTGGGGTGGATGCAGCTCGTGCTGAAGGAGTGCTAATTGAGCTCCATTTGCTGCTTCTGTGTCCTAAGTGCTGAGGAAACAGCAGTGAACAAAACCCATTGCCTTCATAGGGCTCGTGGGGGAGACTTGTGCTCAGCAGTCAGTGCCAAAGAGGGGAAATAGAAATGAGATAGGAACATAGTGATGGAACTTCACATGGGCATCCAAGTGTGGCCTCCTAAGAAGGTAACGTGTGAGCCAAGGCCGGGAAGCTGTGTGACCACGTGTCCTAGACAGAGAACAGCACATGCCAGCAAGCTCCTTGGTTGAATCAAGGACAAGCCTCCAACCCCATTGCTCCTCCTTGCTGGAGGACACAACAAGGATCGTAATGGGGCCCTAGCCGGTTTGGCTCAGTGGATAGAGCGTCAGCCTGTGGACCGAAGGGTCCCCGGTTCGATTCCGATCAAGGGCACATACATAGGTTGCAGGTTCCTCCCCAGCCCGGTCCCTGGTTGGGGTGTGTGTAGGAGGCAACCAATCGATGTGTTTCTCTCACATCGACATTTCTCTCTGTCTTTCCCTTTCTCTTCCGCTCTCTAAAAATTAATGGGAAAATACCCTCCGGTGAGGATTTTAAAGAAGAATAGTAATGGAGCCTGGCCAGTGTTGCTCAGCGGTTGAGCATCAACCTATGAACCAGGAGTTCATGGTTCAATTCGTGGTCAGGACACATGCCCAGGTTGCGGGCTCGATCCCAGTGGGGGGCGTGCAGGAGGCAGCCAGATCAATGATTCTCTCTCATCACTGATGTTTCTGTCTCTCCCTCTCCATTCCTTTCTGAAATCAATTTAAAGTTGTTTTTAAAGAATATTAATGGGGTTGGGACGGAAGCCAAGCAACATGAGAACGGTGAGCTGTGACAGGGCTTGGTTCATGTGGATCGAGGGTGCACCTCTTGCCGGACAGTAGTGCACTGTGCACTGCAGTGGCTGAGAAGGACTCAGCAGCATCCCTTTGCCTCTCACAGGAGTACGATCCCAGCAAAGCAACCTTCGTGAAGGTGGTCCCGACCCCCAACAATGGCTCCACTGAGCTCGTGGCCCTGCACCGAGATGAGGTAGGGACCACCTGCCAACCTGCTCAGTGCAGGTCTTGGGTGAGATTCCCAGGCACTGGCATCCCAGTGAGGGCCTCTGCCACAGACAGCCTTCTCCCACAGGGTGAAGACGGGCAGGAGGTGCTGTCCTTCGAATTCCAGAAGATCAAGTATTCCTATGACGCCCAGGAGAAGAAGCGCTTCCTGCCCGTGGCCTTTCCTGTGGGAAACCCCTTCTCTTACTACCAGAGCAGCAGAGGGTTTCAGGAGGACTCGGAGATCCGCGCAGCAGAGAAGAAGTTTGGGAGTAACAAGTGAGTCCTGACATCCCATGTGCCCCTCCTGCTGACAGGACTGGACCTCTGCCTGGGTCATGGGCCTTGCACTGCCCCGGCCGGTGGCCTGTTTCTGCCCCTTGGAACTCCTAGGTTGGGGTGCAAGTCTCCCCTGAACTTGTTTGCTGACAGGAACCTCCTGGAGGGTTCTTGGGGAGGACCCCTCCTGGGGAGCCTGGCCATGGGATACAAGAGTTGGTTCTTTATCCTTGTCTTGTTTTTGTAATTCCCCAATTCATTTTAAATTCTTTCTTTTAAAAAAAATTTTTTTTTTTTTATTGATTTCCGAGAGGATGGGAGAGAGAAATAAAACATCGGTGATGAGAGAGAATCCTTGATTGGCTGCCTCCTATACACCACCTACTGGGGATCGAGCCTGCTATCTGGGCATGTGCCCTGACCAGGAATTGAACCTTGACTTCCTGGTTCATAGGTTGATGCGCAATCACTGAGCCACACCTGCTGGGCTTAAATTCTTTCTTTAAATATAGTTTCTTGCCTGTCTCCTCATATCCTGGCACTTAAAGAATGGTGGTAAAAAAGAAGTCAGTGATCAGGATAGCTCTTACTTGTACCAGGTAGAATAGCAGGTGCTCTGTACACACTTTAATCTTCACCAAAACTGCCAGGGCTCACCTGTGCCTGGGAGAGGGCAAAGCTGAACTCAGAGCCCCCTCAGAACCTGGGGAATTCTCTCTGGGCTTAATTTTGTACCACAACTATCAGTCTAACAGGAAGATTTATCAGAAATGTTTACTGGTCCTCACTCCCCAACCCCACCCCCACTCCCCAGGTCCAGGCTCCCTTAAAGGCAGCAGACACAATACAGGGTGATTTTTAGTTTGTTTTTATCACTGTGGGGCCACTGTGGTCTCTTTATCATATTCCACCTTCAGGAGCCCACTACATACCATCCTGCACACCCTTAGCTCCCCCCTTTGTCACATTTCTGAGGCTTTTATTCAGGGAGTTTTGGGGAAATCCTGGCTCCAGACCTCTCTCCACAGTGGGATGAGCTCAGGCCCCAGGGGCTCAGAGGCATCTGGCTGCCAGGCCTCCTCTGTGCACCTTCAGCTTCAGGGCTCCTGTTCCAATCAGGGTTCCTTCTCCACTTGCTTTGTCTGCTGCCCAGATGATGGGTTCTGATCTCACCGGCCCCCACTCGGATGGGGGTGCTGCATGAAGAGCTTGTTGCCAATTCAGAAGCTTCATCTGGGCTCTGCAGAGCAGAGGGCTGGGGGTTGTCAGCATGCTGCCCCAGTGAGGGGGGAGAGCCATCGTTGAATGGAGAGTCCTGTCGTCTAGAAGTTTGCCAGGGCTTCTCATTCCCTGAGGAGGCTGCAGTGCCTCCAGGGAGAGGTGTCAGGGCGGGGCCTCCGAGGCCACCCACCGTGAACAGGGTCTGGGTCTGGTTTCTTGCAGGGCTGAGATGGTGGTGCCTGACTTCTCAGAGCTGTTCAAGGAGAGAGCCACAGCACCTTTCTTTGTGTTCCAGGTAAAACAGCAGCTCCAGCACATCGTCCCACCCATCCTTTAGGGCTTACCCAGCCAGCATGACTGTGCAGTTCCAAACCCGAAAACTTACCTGTCCTAATGGGTCAGAGTCCAGGGGTGGAATGCCCTCGGTGTAGGTCCAGTGCTCAGCAGGCATCCTCCTTACGTTTCTGGGGCAGGTGTTCTGCGTGGGGCTCTGGTGCCTGGATGAGTACTGGTACTACAGCGTCTTCACGCTCTCCATGCTGGTGGCCTTCGAGGCCTCCCTGGTGCAGCAGCAGATGCGCAACATGTCGGAGATCCGGAAGATGGGCAACAAGCCCCACACAATCCAGGTGAGGCCAGCAGGGTCCCAGAGGTCTTGGCGGGCCTAGTGCAGGTGTGTTCCCAGAGCTGACCATGCCCCACCCCACTCAGGTCTACCGAAGCCGCAAGTGGAGGCCCATCGCCAGCGACGACATTGTTCCCGGGGACATTGTCTCCATTGGTGAGGCCCAGTTCTGCTCTTTCCTGCGGGCATCTTAGTCTTGGCTTCTGCCTGACCCTCTGGTGCTACCCCACAGGTCGCTCGCCACAGGATAACCTGGTGCCGTGCGATGTGCTGCTGCTTCGGGGCCGCTGCATCGTGGACGAGGCCATGCTCACAGGGGAGTCAGTGCCACAGATGAAGGTGTGGGGAAGGGGAGACCTCAGTCCCCTCAGGTGTATTGTGGACCATTCTTGAAGGAGCCACCATCCAGGAGAGTGCCAGGATCTTGTCCAGGCGCCCAGGAGGAGGGATGGAATCCTGGCCAGGAGGCTGGAGGAGGCAGAGTGGCTGCAGCGTCTGGGCAGAGCTGCTGATCTCAGTGCCCTGGACAAAGGGAAATTGGGTGGTGGTGGAGAGAGGAGAGGCGAGTCCCAGAGAGTTGGGACATCTAGGTGCCCTGAGATAGCAGATCGAGGTGGACTGAGAAATGGGGAGGGTGTGATTTCTGGGAGAGGCCAGGTGCAGGGTCACAGGGAGTCGACAAACGTGCAACTGGAGGAAAGGTGAGATTTGCTGGGCCAGGTAAAGAGCAGGTGGGCTCCACCAGCGCCAGGGTTCAGCTCTCCAGAGACGGGGTGGGGAAGGAGGCTAAGGTGGGACTGACCATTGGCTTCACTGTCCTCCCTCCTCCCCAGGAGCCCATTGAAGACCTCAGCCCCGACCGGGTGCTGGACCTGCAGGCCGACTCCCGGCTCCACGTCATCTTCGGGGGCACCAAGGTGGTGCAGCACATCCCCCCACAGAAGGCCACAACAGGCCTGAAGCGTAGGTGCCTTGGGAGTTTCGGGGGTGTCCTGGCCCCACCTCCTTACCCCCTCCATGTCTGCTTGGCTATGAGGGAGTCCAGACAGACAAATGGCACTGCCTCTGCTTGTTTCCACAGCGGTTGACAGTGGGTGCGTGGCCTACGTCCTAAGGACTGGATTCAACACATCTCAGGTGGGGATCTTGCCTGACTGGGGAGGGTGGGCTCCATGGCAGATGAACAGTCAAGATGGCAGTCCTTTTAGACCCCAGGACATCCACCTCACAGGCTCGCTCTGGCAGCGGGTACTAGGCCAGAGGCCGTGCGAAGGAGCCCAAGATCAGGCTCGCTCTCCCCTGCTGAGGGCCTGGTGGGAAATCAGAAGACTGCCTGATAGAGACAATGGCCAGACCTCCTTCCAGTAACTCCTGCGCTATCTCAACCACTTTCTTCCCCCACCTCCAGGCCTTGGCCACTGGTCTCCTTAGCTCTTAGTCAAGTTGCAGCTGCCGATGTATCCATATGGTCCCTGGACCATCTTGTGTGGTGGATTGCAGGACTCACTGATGGGCCTGGGGCTGCTGCTCTCTGTCAGCTAAGGAAGGATCTGACCCTGATGCCCTCAAGCAGGGAGGCCACCACCCCATCCCCACACACCCCTCAGAAAGGCCTCTGACTCCATCCTTCCAGGGCAAGCTGCTGCGCACGATCCTCTTTGGGGTCAAGAGAGTGACTGCAAACAACCTGGAGACCTTCGTCTTCATCCTCTTTCTCCTTGTCTTTGCCATCGCGGCAGCCGCCTACGTATGGATTGAAGGTAAGCACCACGTTCCCCACCTGTCTGCTGGGTGCCATGCCCACCACCACAGGCTGGCAGGCCCTGTCTCCATAGGCACCAAGGATCCCAGCCGGAACCGCTACAAGCTGTTTCTGGAATGCACATTGATCCTCACATCAGTCGTGCCCCCTGAGTTGCCCATTGAGCTGTCTCTGGCTGTCAACACCTCCCTCATCGCCCTGGCCAAGCTCTGTGAGTACCTGAAGCAGGGCTGGGGTGCCAAGGGGCTGGGGCCTGGCAGGACCTCTGACCCTGGCTCCACCTTTCAGACATGTACTGTACGGAGCCCTTCCGCATTCCCTTTGCTGGCAAGGTGGAGGTGTGCTGCTTCGACAAGACAGGAACCTTGACCAGCGACAGCCTGGTAGTGCGCGGTGTGGCTGGGCTCAGGTGAGCGTGGAGACCTGGGCCAAGAGGTACCCAGCCAGCAGCAGAGGGCTTTCTGAGGGCTCATGGCCTGAGTGCTGCCCACCCAGGCCCCCAAAGTAGGGCCTGTCAGAGGTCTGCTCTAGGGGGCTTCCTGTGCAGTCTCAGTATGAGTGACAGCGGCACAGGAATCATCTTAGGCTCCAAGCAGCCACATGACCTGTGGGAGCATCCGTGATACAAGTACAGATGTCACAAGGACCAAACCGACACCCCTGCTGCCCCTGAAGTGACTGGCACAGATATGGGGTCTCATCCCTCTTCCTGGCTGGCAATTCCCAGAGGGGTCCCTTCACCCTATAACCAACTATTCTCCTTCCTTGCAGAGATGGAAAGGAGGTGACCCCCGTGTCCAACATCCCTGTAGAAACACACCGAGCCCTGGCCTCATGCCACTCCCTAATGCAGCTGGATGATGGAACCTTGGTGGGTGACCCCCTGGAGAAGGCCATGCTGACAGCCGTGGATTGGACACTGACCAAAGGTGAGGGGCCGGAGTCTCAGGCCCAATGCAGACTCACCACCCGCTCTCATGCTCCCGGGAAGGCAAGCCAGACCCCTCAGGCTGGCGGGTGGGCATGCACACACTTGGTTGTCCTCCTGGGTTGGAACCCACCCCACCCAAAGCTACGGGGCAGGGTCCTCCAAGCCCAGGTCTCCCAGCTCTTATCCCCAGGAGCCCCCAGGCCCTGGATCTGGGGATGGGGGGAGGAAGGAGGGGCAGGCGGGGGCCTGGCTGCCTCTTTGGAGCTAAGGCCCTCAGGACTCGTACTTATTTGTTTCCAGATGAGAAAGTATTCCCCCGAAGTATTAAAACTCAGGGGCTGAAAATTCACCAGCGCTTTCATTTTGCCAGTGCCCTAAAGCGAATGTCCGTGCTCGCCTCCTACGAGAAGCTGGGCTCCACCGACCTCTGCTACATCGCGGCTGTGAAGGGGGCCCCTGAAACCCTGCATTCCATGGTGAGTGGAGCACAGCCCTGGGGTTGGGGCGGGGGGGGGTCAGTGTGAGGTAGTTGGTGACATTCCTCTGCGTTTCCTACAGTTCTCCCAGTGCCCACCCAACTATCAGCACATCCACACGGAGATTTCCCGGGAAGGAGCCCGCGTCCTGGCTCTGGGGTACAAGGAGCTGGGGCACCTCACCCACCAGCAGGTAATGGCCCAGGCCCCTCACCCATGTTCCCACACCTTGTGTCCTCACGGTGCCCCTGTGAGCAGGCACGATTTCATCTTCCTCCTCCCCAGACTCTACCTTTGGAGACTCCAGGTGGCACTCAGTCCTCAGTCCCTTCTCCATAGTGCCCTGCCTCCATGGGACCCAGGCCCATCCTGGAACCTAGGGCTACCTCCACCCAGCTTCCTACCCCCACACCCATGGGTCCTCATGCACCCTCAGTAAGCATCAGAAGACATCTTTTTATTCAGAGAGGAAGGGAGGGAGAGAGAGAGAGAGAGAGAGAGACAGATATCAGTGATAAGATAGAATCATTGATCAGCTGCCTCCTGCACGCCCCCCCCGCCCCCCCATTGGCGATCCAGCCCGCAACCCGGGCATGCTCCCTGACCAGGAATTGAACCATGACCTCCTGGTTCATAGGTCAGTGCTCAACCACTGAGCATGCTGACTGGCCCAGGAGACAATTTAGATTACCATCTCTAGTCTAGTTCTGACCCAGCCCAGTTCAGTCACCTGGTTACTGCATGGTTTGGGGACATCCCCAGCTCTCAGTCATACCCCCATGTCCCATCAGCTCTTCTCCCACCTCCACTGCCAACACTCCTTTACCTCCTTCCACCTTGGCCTTCATCCAGGCTGTTTGCACCCAGTGGCCAAGAGATCCTTCCAGAATGCATGCCTGATCACACCCCTCCAGAGCCACTCCTGCTTAATGCCACCCCTCTCACAATCCGGGACCCCTCAGGGGATGTCGGAGGCCCAGTGCACAGATTCAGCCCGATTCCCGCAGGTCAGGCCTAGGGATCCCACCAGTGCACGAATCCATGCACCAGGTCTTTAGTGTACATATAAGATCTTTGGTTAATCTCTTTCCTTCCCTCCCCCTTCCCTCTAAGATTCATCAGTCTGTTCCATGTTTCCATGTTTATACATTGAACACCTGCCCCTGGTGGTCAGTGTGCATCATAGCTACTGGTCAGACGGTCGCTTAGGCTTTTATATATATAGATGCCTTCCCCAGTAGAAGACAAGCTTAATGAGGGTGGGCATTTTTGGTTTCTGGGATGAGGTAGAGGGTGAGCACATGCTGGGTGGTTAACAAGGAACAGTTGACAGAAGCCAAGACACAAGGTCTCTGTGAGGACATGCCATGCCCACACCAGGGAGTAGAAGCACTGGGGGCGGGGACCACCCAGCCATTGCCAAGCTGCTGTGCCACAGGGAGGACAAGCCCTTCTCTGACCTCTCCACTCAGCACATTGTTGGGGCTTGGGGAATTGCAGGGATGGGCGATGTTATGATCGTAAGAGCGCCCCATGTTTGTCCACAGGCCCGGGAGGTCAAGCGGGAGGCGTTGGAGTGTAACCTCAAATTCGTCGGCTTCATTGTGGTCTCCTGCCCGCTCAAGGCTGATTCCAAGGCTGTCATCCGGGAGATCCAGAATGCCTCCCACCGGGTATGGCTCCTGGACCCTCCACACCAGGCCCCTCAGACAGGTGGGCGGGTGGGCCTTGGCTCCTTACAGAGAGGAGGATGTGACAGCAGAGGACACTTCCACCCCCAGTGGGGCAAGTGGGTGCTTCCTGGGGTCCGCAGCATCCCTGAGAGGCTGAGGCTGGGTAGAGGGTGTGGGAGCAATACCCAGACGGGTCACGTCTGTCTCAGTGGCTTTAGTCTGTTCATCCTGGTGTTTGTGTTGTCTAATTTGGGACTCAGGATGCAGTTTAACGTGGGAGCTAAGTGAGCAGTCTCAGAGGATGGTAGCAGGATCAGTCCCCACCTGGCGCTCAGCAGGCCTCCCAGCTCTAAGCTGGGAGGCTGGAACATGTGGTTCCCACCCACCCCACACACAGCTTCCTGGGAAGCTACCAAGCCAAAAAGGTCCACGAAAAAACTGGTTCATAATTTAACATGAAAGGCATGGGTGTTCTCAGAAAGACAAACATACATGTATTATTTTTAAAAACATCACCGGGTGGACAGATTGTGGCCTTGGAAGCCCAGTCCTCAGGAGGGGGCCCAGACTTCTCTCTGTAGCCTTCCTTAGAGGGGACTCGGGCACTAGGTCTCCAGGCTGGCGTTCTGCCCCTCTGAGCCTTCGCCCCTCTCCCCAGGTGGTCATGATCACTGGTGACAACCCACTCACTGCCTGCCACGTGGCCCAGGAGCTACACTTCATTGAAAAGGCGCACACGCTGATCCTGCAGCCTCCCACAGAGAAAGGTGAGACCCTGAATGAACACGCCCAGTGTTAGTGAGTGCCTGTGCTGGTGGCAGCAGTGCGACATGGGCCTGTGGGTCACAGCCCTGCTCCTCCGGCCGTCTGGCTAGAGTTCCACCCGTGTCTAGCAGCATGAGGGCAGCCACTGGCTCCAGGATCAGTGATGACATAATCTCAGGCAATCGATTATAGTCACACCATCTCACGTTTCCTATCATCACACCCACCTTGGGCCTGACGGCTGCCCGTGCACTACATGTATACCCTGTTCCCAAGTTCAGGGACTGCTGGTGCTGGTGCTCGGCCTGGCCAGACCCTGGGCAGCGGGCTTGGTATGTGATATCACATTGTCCCTTTGCCCTACACAGGAGGGCTTGCCGTCCCCATGCCACGTAGCAGGAAGCCATCTGGGTCAGCTGTTGTCACCCAGCTTTATAGACAATGAAATAGAAGTGAACCCACCCACCCAGGTTTCTTGGTGTCATTGTGACTAAACATTTGAACCTGGATGGCCTGGCTCCAGCAGCTGGCCACTCGGTTGGCTGCAAGTGGTACCCCAGAGTCAGACCATTCGAGGAGCCGTTCCAGCCCCAGCACTTTCTGTCTGGTAGGGCGGGGTCTGTCAGATGTTGAAGGATAGTGCCCAGTGCAGCACCTGGCTCAGGGGTGCTTCACAAGGCTCCAGGCCAGGGGAGGGTGTTGGTAAGGCCCAGCAAGGTCAGCTTCTGGCGCTTCCTGGCCTGTCTCCCAGTCCACTGCTGGTCCCAGAGCTCCGTCCGGCTCCAGGCACTGGGCTCCTGAGAGGCCCAGGATTATGGGCAGGCAGCCCAGAGAGGTGGCTGTCAGGGCTGTTGATTGGCAAGTGAAGCTGCTCTAATAAAAGGGCAACAACAAAAACCAGGTGGAGGTTAGTTTCCTGCCCAGCCGAGACTGTCCAGTTGAGCCATCAGTGCCAGGAGGGCTAGTAGGCCAGCCAGCTGGAAAGAGGAAGTGGATAGCAAGTGTCTGGCCAGAGGAAGTGACTCCAGTGCCCCAGCCCCGGGAAAATGGGGTTTCAGGCAGGCCACAAGGGTGGGGCTGATTAAGTAATAGGTTTAGGGTATGCCTGGGTTGGAATTTAGCCACTTCACGTGGTCTCAGGCCCTGGGTTCTGGGATTCCCCATTTGTATTGGAGGGTTCTGAATAATCTCGATTGGACGGTCACCAGTCCAAGGCACAAGTAGGTGTAGATGCAGCTTGAAGGAAGGGTGAGGGTCAAAATGGTGCTCCAGAGAGGAGAGACTAGGACCAGGCATGTTGAGTCCGAGTCAGGGGTCTTCCTGGGTGACTAAGCCCTGTCCCTGACTCTGGGCACTGGCCCTACAGGTCGATCCTGCGAGTGGTGCTCCATCGACGGCAGTGTCGTGCTACCCCTGGCCCAAGGCTCCCCAAAGGCGCTGGCCCGGGAGCATGCCCTGTGCCTCACGGGCGATGGCTTGGCCCACCTGCAGGCCGAGGACCCCCAGCTGCTGCTGCGCCTCATCCCCCATGTGCAAGTGTTTGCCCGTGTGGCCCCCAAACAGAAGGTGAGCGCAGAGGTGGTAGGCGGGCGAGGTCCTAAAGTGGCACACGGCCCTCACTTGTTCCTTTGCCCGTGTAGGAGTTTGTCATCACCAGCCTGAAGGAGCTGGGCTACGTGACCCTCATGTGTGGTGACGGCACCAATGACGTGGGTGCCCTGAAGCACGCCGACGTGGGTGAGCCCCCCGCCCCCCGGCTTACTGTTCAGCCAGCCAGGGCTCAGCATAAAGGACACCTCCCCGAGCATGAGGGGGCTGTGAGGATAGGGCGGGGCCAATAGGGTCAGGGATCCACGGGCAGAAGGACACAGTGTCTAAGGAACAGTGTGGCTGAAGCCACCAGAGCCATGGGGAAAGTTTGGGGAGCCAGGGAAGCTCTGTGAGAGAACCCGGACCCTTTGGTCCGCAGGCTGACACTGTATCCATTGAGCCAAACTGGCTAGGGCTTGTTTTTATTTTTTAAGTCGTTATAGAAAGTAAGATAAAATGCTCTCTGAGGGTACTCCTTGGGGAGGTCCAGTGAAATGGGGAGGTTTGGCTCTGAGGCCCATGGCTCCATCTAGGCATTGAGCTGACACTCACTCTGGCTTGGGGCCAGTGGGCTCCCCTGGATCCTGACACACACATATCCTTCCCTCTCCCCCACCCCAGGTGTGGCACTCCTGGCCAATGCCCCAGAGCGGGTTGTCGAGCGGAAGCGGCGGCCCCGTGACAGCCCTGTCCTGAGCAACAGCGGTGTCAGGGCCACCTCCAGGGCATCCAAGCAGAGGTTGGGGCTCCCACCCTCAGAGGAGCAGTCCACCTCCCAGAGGGTGAGTCTTGGGAGGGGGGCGCCGGCACCCCCTTGTGTCCAGGTCTCACCCACCGCCACCCACCCCACAGGACCGCCTGAGCCAGGTGCTGCGGGACCTCGAGGATGAGAGCACACCCATCGTGAAGCTGGGGGATGCCAGCATCGCGGCGCCCTTCACCTCCAAGCTCTCATCCATTCAGTGCAGTGAGTCCTGCCACCTGCCCTGTCCCCCTACCAGCCCTGCCTGGCACCCATGCCCATGCCTGCATGCACGCATGCTCACACCTACCTCCCCCAATCCATGTAGTCTGCCACGTGATCAAGCAGGGCCGGTGCACACTCGTGACCACGCTGCAGATGTTCAAGATCCTGGCACTCAATGCCCTCATCCTGGCCTACAGTCAGAGTGTCCTCTACCTGGAGGGCGTCAAGTTCAGCGACTTCCAGGCCACACTACAGGGGCTGCTGCTGGCTGGCTGCTTCCTCTTCATCTCCCGCTCCAAGGTGGGCTGAGACCCCAGGCAAAGCAATGGCTCCTGCCCTACCCACAGGCACCTCCGCCCTGGAGGTGCTGAGAGGCTTCAGTGATGCACGGCAAGGAACACTTGGGCCTGTCAGAGGTGCTTCCGGGCGGATGTCATCTTTTCTTCCTCACAGCAGCCCTCGGGGAAGCTGTCATCCCCGTGTTACAGATGGGGAGTGGGAGGGAGGGGGCGAGCCCACTGAGCTCTTCCCAGTAGCACAGCTCGGGCCCCAGCACTGTCCACAGGCAAGCAGGGCTCTGGAGGCTGGTGCCAACCCATAGCCCCAGGATGCGGTGACTGCTCTCTGCACCAGGCCTGCAGGAGGCGTGGGTGGGTGGGTGGCCCAGGGCACTCTGGGCCTTGACACTCACCATCTATTCAACCCCCAATTCTGCAGCCCCTCAAGACCCTATCCCGGGAGCGGCCCCTGCCCAACATCTTCAACCTGTACACCATCCTCACGGTCCTGCTCCAGTTCTGCGTGCACTTCCTAAGTCTTATCTACCTATACAGCGAGGCCCAGGCCCGAAGCCCTGAAAAGTGAGTGCCGCCCTAGTAGTGGGTGCACAGGGCACCCACAGGAGGCAGCGTCCCTGTGGTGGGAGGTGGAAGGAGGATGCAGATGCAGGTGCGGACGTTGGCCTGGGGCAACCAGGACCAGGCAGAGAGCCCTGGTTATGTGCAGGGGAGTGGGAGCCACAGAACGGCCCTCACCCCCATGCATCCTGCAGGCAGGAACAGTTTGTGGACCTGTATAAGGAGTTTGAGCCAACCCTGGTCAACAGCACTGTGTACATCATGGCCATGGCCATGCAAATGGCCACCTTTGCCATCAACTACAAGGTGAGCTCCAGCCCTAACCCAAGCATGCCCTCCCCACCCCACCCCCCACAACACACACTATTCGTCTCTCTGTCCCCACAGGGCCCGCCCTTCATGGAGAGCCTGCCTGAGAACAAGCCTCTGGTGTGGAGCCTGGTGGTGTCACTCCTAGCTATCGTGGGCTTGCTCCTCGGTTCCTCGCCTGACTTCAACAGCCAGTTTGGGCTTGTGGACATCCCCGTGGAGGTGAGTATCCCTGTGGGTGTGGTCCCAGGACTTGACCTGGGCCCATCGGCAGGCATCCAGCTCATCATCGCTCCCTCCCCTGCAGTTCAAGCTGGTCATCGCCCAGGTCCTGATCCTTGACTTCTGCCTGGCACTCCTGGCCGACCGCGTCCTGCAGTTCTTCCTGGGGACCCCGAAGCTGAAAGTGCCTTCCTGAGACAGCAGTGCCAGCACCCACTGCCCACCCTGCTACCACCGGGCAGGGACCCCATGTGGGCCCCAGGAGGGAACACTGCCCCCACGGCAAGGCCAGAGCAGCCTTGCCCATTAAGACTGAGTTGGGGCCGCCCCTCTCACCCCCCCACATGGCCATCCTTGGGCCTGGCTGTCAGAACCAGCCCCCAGCCAGCACCTTTGGTAAATAAAGCAGCATCCACAATTTTAAGAAGCCCTGCCTTCACCTCTGCCTGTACCACACAAGGGGTCGCCGGGAGGCTGGTGTTCTCCGAGGAAGGTCCTGGCACCCGCCCAGAGGGCTCTGTGAGGTTAAGGACACCCTCTGCAACAGTCGGGGCTTGGGTAGGGCGAGCTTCCAGCCCAGAGCTCTGCATATTCCCTGGTTTAATAAGCACCCCCATATGTCAGCTTCGTATTTTCACACCTCAGGCACTCGGGGGAGGCTTAGGATCTATGGCTTTTTTCCCTTTTCAGTTATATGCAAAATGGCAGCATGCCTTCTCTCCATGGTGTCTTATATGTGAGGAAGTTCAATCCACACCATTAGAATGCTGACTCCGGCTGGGGTCCTGAGGCATTTGGGTGCTGTTGCCATTTCAGTCACAGCCAGGCTGACCCAGCAGCCTGGCTCTGCCCTCACAATGACTGTCCTTCCTTGCAAAGGGCGCTCAATGCAATCGGCAATGTCAGAGCAGGCAGCACGAGAGCAGCCGGTTGGAGATAACAGCGAAAAACTTTAGGAAGCAAAGTTACAAACATGAAGTCTAATTACAGCCAGAAATTCCACTGAGTGAAGAGTGGGTGCATTTTTATAACAGAAGCTGCTTGTGACCACCTCAGGCCAGGGGACCCAGACTCAGGCTTCTGGGCCGCCTGCCCACCGATGCTAATTGGAGAGCTCAGTCCTTTCCTGCCCTCGGTCATCCTCGGTAGCCCACCCCTGTCTGCTTCCCCAGTGAGTGGAGTGTAGCCTGCAGGCCTTGGGAGGCCTTGGGAAAGCAGCAGGGGCCAGCCGTGGATACCTGTGAGCATCATGAGCACTGGCTGGCCAAGGTCCCAGGGAGTAGTGGCCCCAGACCACAGCCTGCAGAGGGTTGCTGTGGTCATTGGAATGTAGAGGGAGGCCAGATCCCTGCAACAACTTGAGGCGACTCGGGAGAGCAGTCTGGAATTGGGTTTGCCAGGGATGACTGGGGGCTCAGGGGAGTGTCTCTGTGCCGCCCTCATCACTACCCCATCCCACCCCAGGTCTGAAAAGAACTGAGGGCTACGCTGTAATTGGCCCTCAAGAGCCTAATCTAGCTTTGAGGGTCACTGGGAGTGCCTCAGGCCAGGAGTTTCTGGCCACAAAGTGTTAGGTGACTTCTGATTCGCCTGTAATTGGGCAGGACTGCGGCCCTTCACATGGGGCTCCATGTCTCTAGTCCGGCTGGACGGGTTCGAGGTCCACGGAGCCCTGAGCAGGATGTCACTGGGTGTGTGGAAGGGTCGAAAACCGGTGGACTCTGGGGTCACTCCTGGGGGAGTGTGCTGGCGCTTTGGGACCGCGCAAAGATCTGGGAAGGAGGATGTGAGGGCGATCTGGCTGCGACATCTGCCACCCCATTGATCGCCAGGGTTGATTTGGCTGATCTGGCTGACTAGGCGGGTGTCCCCCTCCTCCCTCACCGATCCATGTGCGTCCCTCCCGAAGCTGCGCGCTCGGTCGAAGAGGACGACCTTCCCCGCGAGGAGAGGACCGGTCTTTGGTCAAAGGTATACGAGTAGCTGCGCTCCCCTGCTAGAACCTCCAAACAAGCTCTCAAGGTCCATCTGTAGGAGAACATAGGGTAGTCAAGCTTCCAAGACTCCGGACACATCCAAATGAGGCGCTGCACGTGGCAGTCTGCCTTCCTTTAAAAAAAAAAAATCTGGGAAGGAGAACCCTGGCCAGGATGGAGTCCTGGAGTGCCCAGGTCTGGGGTGGTCGCCCAGGAGGCACTGGCCCTGGAGCATCTCTGCCCTTGAGCAGGGGGCTCCTTCCGCGCTTCCGAGCCTGGGGCGTGGCCTCGGGCAAGGGCGTGTCTAGCTTGATGAAGTGGGGCGTGGCCTCGGGCAAGGGCGTGTCTAGCTTGATGAAGTGGGGCGTGGCCTCGGGCAAGGGCGTGTCTATCTTGATGAAGTGGGGGCGTGGCCTCGGGCAAGGGCGTGTCTAGCTTGATGAAGTGGGGCGTGGCCTCGGGCAAGGGCGTGTCTAGCTTGATGAAGTGGGGCGTGGTCTCGGGCAAGGGCGCGTCTAGCTTGATGAAGTGGGGGCGTGGCCTACCATGGGGCGGGGAGACGCGGAAGCTGGTGGTAGCCGGAGCAGAAAATCTGGGCTAGGCCCAGCCGGCGCGGTTCCATCATCTCAGTCCCTGTCCCCACCGAGCAGCCCGTAGGCCATGGACGCAGCAGAGCCGGGTAGGCGGTCCGGGATACGGGATCAAGAGGGGCATCAGCCATACCCGCTTCCTAAATTGAGGGCCTACGGTTGTCCCTCTCTGTCCTAGAGCAGGGGAAGGAGTTCCTGAATGGGGAGGACGCCGGGGATCCTCCATTGTGGGCACCGTCCCCCCCAAGCCGAGAGGAGCCCGGGACACCAGTCCCTGACCCCCTCCCCCTTGGAGTCTTCACCCCGGATGCCTTGTTGAAGGGGCCCAGGAAGGGGAAGTGGCTGCTTCTGCTTTTGATATTTGTGATGGGGGCAGGGTGCAACAACCGCGGATGGAGAGGGGCGAGGGCGACAGTGCAGCAGGATCCCCACCCGCTGCTCCGCAGCCCAGGGAGGAGCAACGCCGATGGGGCCCCCAGAAGAAGGGCGGGAGAAGCTGTTGCAGAAATGTAGCAAGTTTCCGCTTGTTTGGGGGGCTGTCGTTTGTGTCTCTCTGTGCATGTTGAGTGTCAGTCATCAGTCTTTATGGCCGATGGTTCGGTCTGCCAGTGTTTCTGCCACAGCTCTCTGCCTGTCTGTCCCATGTGTATTTCCATCTGTCTGGCCTGAGTTCCATGTGGCTCCATTGCCAGGCTGGCTCTCGCCCCTGGGGACAGTGTGACTGCATCTGGGGCGTCTGTTTTGTCTCTTTGCCTCTGAGCCCGTGTGTTTGTGGCTGTCTCTGCTCTCTGTGTTGGGCTGTGCCTGAGTCCATCTGCTTGGCAAAGTCAGCCCCACCACCCAAGCCCACCCTCCCTCCATTCCAACTCAGACACCCACCCCATCCCACACTCCCTACAGAACCAGAACTTTCTGTCTTGCTCCTCTTTCTCTCTTTCTTTCTCTCTCCCCACCCTCCAAACAGCCAGCCGAGGTGCTGTGGACTGAAGGAGGCTTCGTGTACCTATATATGACCCCCCGCTTTCAGGGCTTCCCCCGGCTCCTGAGAGCAGGAAGAGGTACAGTGACATCTTTCGGAGCCTGGACAACCTTGAAATTTCACTGGGGAACGCGTGAGTCTGAGACGACTGGGTCGCCCCCAAAACCTGCCAAAATCTCCAAAACACCCAAAATTCACACACACCCAAATCCACTGGAAATCCCTATAGTGGTCCTAGAACCCCCACATATCCTTCTGGTGACCCCTTAAAACATTTGAGACCCCTATAATCCCACTCTCTGAATCCCACAGTTACCTGTAACCTGTCAAACTCTGTCTCATGTCTCTTAAAAAAGCTCACCTGGTTGTCCCCCAAAACCCCATCCCTTAGACCTCCCAGATACAAGAGACGTCACTGGGGGGGGGGGGGGGGTATCAGGACCATCTGCCAAAATTCCCTGGGACCCTCAGCACCCTGAGCGGGACAGTCTGGGTGGAGGGTGGTATCCTAATACCCTTACCTCCAGGACCCTTGAGATGCTGGCTGGAGACCCTATACTTTCAGGAGACCCAGAGCCTGACAAGACCCCCATGGCCACTGTGGTGAGAGGTGGAGCCAAGGGGGCAGGAAGGAGGGGCCTCCAGGAGGAGGGGCCTTAAGGAGGGGTCCCCTGCCTGCATGTTCCTGAATGCTGTCTCCTCCCCTCAGACCAGTGAAACCAGCCATTGGAGTGGCCCCTCCCAGAGGGTCCTGCACCCTTACAGGTAGGGGGTTTGAAGGCAGGAGGTGGGGGCAAAAAGTTCTTCCCTTAAGTCAGCGGTTCTCAACCTGTGGGTCTCGACCCCTTTGGAAGTCGAACGACCCTTTCACAGGAGTCGCCTAAGACCATCGGAAAACACATATATAATTACATATTGTTTTTGTGATTAATCACTATGCTTTAATTATGTTCAATTTGTAACAATGAAAATACATCCTGCATATCAGATATTTACATTACGATTCATAACAGTAGCAACATTACAGTTATGAAGTAGCCACGAAAATAATTTTATGGTTGGGGGTCACCTCAACATGAGGAACTGTTTTAAAGGGTCGCGGCATTAGGAAGGGTGGGAACCACTGCCTTAAGTCATCACCGACTGCCTGTCCTGTGCACCTGGGACACTGCAGCGCACAGAGCGGCCGTGAGCCCCTGCCCTCAGGGAGCCCCAGTCTGGGTGGAGAATCCGCATAAAATTGCAAGTCATTGTAAAGGGCATTTTGGGGAGTCATAGGGTGTAGAATAAAGGTCACTGGTCAGGTCTAGAGCCTCAAGTGAGGTTAGGGTTTCAAGGGAGTTTAGGATTCAGAGGTCAGAGGTCCACCTGTCTGCCCCAGGGGAGGAACTGGACTTGCGGCTCATTCGGACCAAGGGTGGTGTGGACGCAGCCCTGGAATATGCCAAGACCTGGAGCCGCTATGCGAAAGGAGCTGCTGGCCTGGACCGAGAAGAGAGCCAGCCTTGGTGAGGGTCCTTCCACCGGCCCCAGGCTCCAGGCAGCTCCCCCTCCCTGCCCAGCTCAGACCCTTGCTGTCTCCCCCCAGAGCTAGATTTTACCAAAAGCATTATGAAGATCGCCGAGGCTGGCAAGGTGTCCATCCAACAGCAGGTAACCATGACCACCCCCCTCCCCCCCAGAGCCCAAACCCTTTGGAAAGAACCACAGCCCAACCCCATCCCTAGATCCTCAGCATCTTCCACCCCCACCCCAGAGCCACATGCCACTGCAGTACATCTACACCCTGTTTCTGGAGCACGACCTCAGCCTGGGAGCCCTGGCCATGGAGACAGTGGCCCAGCAGAAAAGAGACTACTACCAGGTGAGGGAGCCATGCTGC